GTGCTGGATTTGAGGGACAACGAAATGTCCACTATTCCCTCAATTCAGGCCAACACATTAGCCCAGAAACTGCACACTGTTTTCCTAACAGGAAATCCGTTCAACTGCTGCCAAACCGAATGGTTCTGGACATTTGAAACAACAAAGACTATCAATATGGTCGGACAATCACACATTGAATGTGAGGATCTCATCCAAATGAGATACAGAGTGGAGCACTTTCAGCTATTTGTGTGTAATCAGACAGAAGAGGAATCTATATTGTGGTACATTCTGCTTTTTGTACCTATCTGTCTTTCTTTTGTTGGCATATCAGTTATTGTTCTCCTCACCTCTAAGCCCAAAATGCTACCAATGTCAATCAAAAAGAAGTGCCTGAAGCCAACATCCTACTGATACTTTATAAACGGAAACAAAACCATGTTTGTACAGTATATTATTAATAAATGGAACTGAATGTATTTTGGAAATAAATTCAAGTCATTGTAATGAAACAATCATTCTATGATATGTATTTGAGCAAAATACTATTTTTTTTTTTACTTTGTGAAGTTGAAGTATGGTTCAAAACTGTGTGTGTGCGTGTGCGTGTGCGTGTGCGTGTGTGTGTGTGTGCGTGTGTGTGTGTGTGTGCATGTGTGTGTGTGTGTGTGTGTGTACATATGCAGAAGTAGTGTGATGCAAGCTGTGGCTATAAGCAGCAGAGGAAACATGAAATTTCCTGTTTTGCTAAGATGTGCAGGAACTGCCCAGTTCAGTATCTCAGAGAGGAGGGTTTGAGGTTTCCTTCCCATCAGGGAGTCACAGATGAAAATCAGAAGCATTAAATTCCAGTGTATCCGTATGTCGGTTTAGACCCAAACCATATTTTGATGACCGATAATCATTTCAACTCTGCATTTAGCTGCAATTTAAGGTCAAGTTTAAGCAAAGTTGCGTGGATAAAGTCATAAACATTATGAAAAAGGGACGTTTATCTACCTGTGTGTGTATGTGTGTTGTTTAGCAGCAGGAAGGTTGGTGGATCAGTGTGTAGCCGTACTGAGTGCCGGAGGCCTAACCAGAAAGTAACCAGAATACCGCTGTGGTGATGCTCAGGGTCATGGTGGTTGGAACATAAAAAGAGAAACATGAGTGAATCCGTGTCAAAGCCTACAAATATCATTATTTTTACTTAACTTTTATGATAAAGTCGACAGTAAGAGTCAAAACATGTTTTTGGTGTCCATCTGCAGAGCATGCACATTCAAGAAGAAAGAAATGTTACTCCGGCCATCAGATAGAGCTTGTGACTTGAAGGTTTCTAGTTTGAATAACTATAACCGCCATTAAGTTATTAATAATAAGTGTAAACAATGATTCATCTTGCACTTCTGGATTTTTATAAAGGGGAAACTTGAAACCGGATTAAAATAACCAGCAAATACTATGCTTACTGGTGCAAAAAGAGGTTTTTTTTCATGAAATGAACAACAGGCAATATAAAATAAAGCAAAAAGTTGACCTGGAACGATAAAATGTTAATAAAATGTCTTATTTATCAATGGTTTTGGGGCATGTTGCTGAGTGTTGGAGATATTGGCCATCAAGTTGAGGCTCTCCTGAGCTCACCTGAGCTAGCTAACGTTACAGCTCAGCTGAGTACGACTTCTTTCCTGTTTACATCTCAGGAGCACAAGACTCTTGTCGCATATGATGCATGCTCTGATCTTTAAGGTGATACAGTCGGCTGGTGTTTTAATGGTAGAAAGAAAATAGTTCCTACATGAAACTGCTCACAACAAGGTCTGAGACTTGTCATAAGTAACTGGGTCATGAATCCTGGAATGAGACATTACTGTTGAGTCTTTCAAATTACGACATTACATGTCACTTGTTAGACACTTTTATCCAAAGCGACTTACATACTCAATACTGTGGACAATCCCCACAGGAGCAATTTGGGGTGAAGTGTCTTGCCCAGGGACACAACGACATGCTGACTGCAGTGGGGTTTGAACCTGTGACCCCATGATCCGAACACCTACGGACAACCCACTATGCCACACGCCTCCCTCAAATCTGTTTTGCGGACGATTTTAGCATCACAAGTTTAGTTTCATTATATTCCAGAGGGCAGACATCTTTACTGCCAATAACTCCAACACATGGTAACTCACACCAAAACAATCTAGCGTGATAATATACATTTTTGATTTTGGGGCGGATTGTCTCTTTAAAAGTCCTATTGGGAAAGATTGGGAAATACGTGGCGTCAAGAAATCATAATTTGCGGAAGGTACTGGTCACAGAATTGTTGACCAAGAGGAATTTAATTTGATTACTCAGCTATGTCAGGTCAGAAGTTAGAAGACAACTAAACCAAGTTTGTCAAAGGGGAATTTACTTAACGCGCAACCAAGCTTTCAAAACGTAGCTAGCTCAACATTGTATATAAAAGAATTAGATGTGATAAAGCCATATTCAGCGGTGCTCAGGGAATCAAGCGACCACATACATACTCAAGTGTGCTGTGTGCACATAGCAAACAAACTAGCCAAACACACATCGATGCAGCTGATTTGTCTTTGCAAAACAGCCCAGCTGTGGTTTTGGGGTCGGCACTAGAAGTAAGTTACCAAATATACACCACAACACTCTTCATAAAAGATGTGGCTAAGGAAAATAATGTGCTTTTTATTCGAGGCAGAGGTCAAAGTTTCTCACAGATAACTGCAAAATTATGGAGAAGTGAAATTTGACCTAAAGTGGTTAAATTAGATTATTTTGAGTTGAGTTGCATTCTGATAGCGAGTGAGTTCTGTGGTTCATCGGAGCTAGGCCTATGTACAATCTCCATATAGCATGTCCGTATACATTACACCAGAAGTGGTCAGGGTCGCAGTGTGAAAGTAGCGGTAAAGGTGTTCCTGATAGCATTGAATGATGTAAAGAAGAAAACAAGATTCCACAGCCATAATAGCTGTGAGGCTGTGGTGCTTTTAAATAAATGCTAACGTCTGCATGTTGATGTGAAGCAGGTAAAATGACCAGGTGCAGCAGCTTCTGGCTGGAGACTCTATTGTAAAAAGGAATACTACAGAAGCAGTCCAAAGGCATTGCCATCCATACAGCAATCATGACCAAAAACAACAACACACAGCTTCTTAGTGGTGACAACCAATCTTTGACAGTGATAACAATGTTGGCTACCTGTTGCCCAATTACGAATTGTGAACCAGCCTTTCCAGCGAACTTATCAGATAAGCAGTTTATTTTCTCACTTCACTTTTTCCTCTTGTTTTTGCACCCAAAAAGAAAACTATTCCAGTCCCCAAAGCTTTCTTGGTAGATGTTTAAAGGAATGTGAAGCCTAAAGTTGTTTACACACGAGTGTTTTTTATCGCCATACTCTGTAGAAAGCCCTGTTTAGAAGAGCTGATGATACAAAACTGCCATTTTGCTTTTATTCCTCAAGCCTACATCAAGTGCACCTCAAGGAGGTCTAAAATGGCAGTTGACAACAAGTATTTTCTAAGTGACATTATGAAAGAAAATGAGGACTTCTGAAAGAGGAAGTGTTTTTTCTCAGGATCACTCATCTGATCTGTGAACTGGTTAAGGCTAACTTTATCTATGAGTGGGTGATGTTATTTTTAGAGAGATAAAGAAGAGAAATAAAAGTTAGGTTTCTTAAAAAGCAGAATGGTGCAGATAACATTTATGCACACAGCTGAGGTTTTATCAGGACCAATGTTTGCCTTAAATCACTTTTAGCTCTTATCTTTAGCTTTTGACTCAAACAAAATGAGTTTGGTAAATAGCAAAACAGGCTACCAAAGTCAAAGTGGAGTGGTTAGTTGCTGATGTTAATGGGAGTGTGCTGGAAATAAAGATGTGAAATGATGTAAAGATGTATCTTAAGAAGTCAACAGGCAGTTTGCAAAACTCCACTTCCTCTTAACCCTTCCTGCTCTTATGACAAGCGAGGACGGGGTAAACGTGCGACTGCCTTAGTACTGCTAAAGGTGACCAATGACTATGGAAATGCAAACATATTTTCAATGTAGGTCTTTGAAGGACATTTTATGAAACTATGGTAAGAGAGGAGCCCTCAGAAGGGAGGATAATCAAGGCCAACATTACTGCACTTTGTATCTTCTTCAAACGAAGATATCTGTCAAACTGGGTCAGCAGTGTCAGTTATTTTCTGGGGATTTGTGCATTTCTGGTCCACAGCTGCTAGCTCTGCAGCACGGAGCTCCACTGGGAGCAGTGAAGCCTCAGGAGCGATATCAAAATAAATTCCTAGGGTAAAGGCACTCTACTCCTTGCTTTGAATGTGTCAACATAAGGAATATATATTTCAGTGACCCTCTAGAAAAAAGAAATGGGCTCTTAGAAGATACAACAAATTAAAACGGTTTGTCCAAAATCAGGACAAATCAACATAAGAATAAGATGCCAGTATGTATTAAATTAAAGGTGTCACTGGATCATATTGGGCATGAGTTTTGTGCTTGTGATTTGACCTCTTTCACAGGAATTCTTTCATCCCGAGAAACTCCTAATCAGTGTTGAAATCAAAGACTGCACTTTTTGAACTCAACATTTGATAAGAATAGTTTTTGAAATTGCGCTGTAGGCGTACCAAATGTCATTAAGCAGCACTCCAAATGAGACTGGGTCTAAAAAAGGAATCTGTTCATACATTACAGACATTTTCTACTTTTGTGAAACTGGTTAAATTCTCTAGCTGTGTCTGAATCTCACAGGATTCTGCCTACTTACATGGTCCAAACATTTCTTCAGTTGTATGTCCCAACAGTGCAACCAGTTACATTTAATAATACACCCACAGATTGATAATGTGGCCTGTTCTGCCCTCTAGTGGTTCCACCAGGAAATAAGTAATATCAACCATTAAGTCAGCTGAGAATGCCCCTTTGTGCTTCATAACTACAGGGGGGGGGGGGGGGGGGGGGGGGGGGGGGAAGATATCTCAACAAACAACAGAGCAGTTATATTTTCTTATTTTAATGCATCATATTGTTTATATTTATTTTACAAATGTATGCCATCTCATCCGTTACACACAAAACAAAAGGCAGGCATGTGGTAATATCATTTGATCTCCCAGAATGGCAATGTGAAGTTGAAATGTAGCTTTATGGGGATTTAATATTGTAAAAGTAAAAAAAGTATATATATTTTTTTATAAAGTTAAGTCAACCAACACCAGAGATGACTAACATGTCACAAAGTTTGGATAAATGGAGAATACACAAATTAATAATTTAATCAGACACAAAACGTCTTCTGGTAAATAAATTGAATATAAACGTGGAAATGCTTGTGTTCAATTGTCAATAACTTAGAATATTGGGGTTCAATAATAGAAAAGGAGACTGATTTAGTCTCAATACTGCTGCAGCAGCTACAAAAAGGCAATTGATTATTAGAAAGGCCGATTCACGGTGATAGGCACTAAATAATGTCTGGCAATAATAATGCCAAGTGAGTTTTGGAACTTCTTGGTTATCAGCAGTTTCAACGTCTCTTATTTTTAACTCGGTCATCAATCGAATGTGTTAAACTGAATAAAGCCGACTCACAAAAAAAAAATAATTCATATTTTGGATAATCATAACGGCTTCTGCACAATAAGATTATCAATTATAAAATAAGACTTTATGATCAGTATCAATCTCTGCTTCAAACTGAAGTTCATTTTTGTACTTAATGTGTATTGAAAACTTGCAGTGAGGGATATAAAACCCTCACGATAAAAGCACTGAAATCACCATCTGAGATATATGTGTAAACAAAAGCAATTTTTTTTTCTTTTTTAAGATACAATTTGGGAGATGTTCTGGCACATATTGCATGGGATCAAACACAAAGGAGGCGTGGAAGCAGGTTTTAGAAATGTACTGCAGTTAGGTACAAACACACATCGGGGATCGGGCTTCCTTTCACTCAAAATATTCATTCCAATTGAGTCTGCTAAAAGTGAGACTCCTTTTCATAGAAATATAACTCATTGTAAAATGGCTGAATGGAAGAGAAAGTGGCCCTGCAACACAATATATAAATATGAGATCACAGCTGGTTACAGAGGGCTGAAAGGGGGGGGGGGGGGTCTCAGTTAAGCAGCTCCAGGTAAGTGATGGGCACTTTGCCCATCTGGTTGCCGCGCTCCCCCATCAGCCAGTCTGAGTCCATGCCTGGGACGCTGCCGACTGTGATCACCTGTGAGGGATACAGCGTTTGTTGCATTAGGCTATCAAGTCTTATTCATTTCAATGTAGTATTCATTCGTCAAGGCGAATCACTGACATAGCATAAGTTAGCATTCAGTCTACAGTCTATTCTGTACGACTCATCGACTTTACAGACAAGGTCTTCCTAAGGCACCACATTCATAATGTTTATACTTTTAAGGGCCACCAGACTTTTTCATAAAGTTTATTCTTGTTTATTCAGTCCTGTTTTTATTTCCTTTTTTTTTTAATGAAGCACAAAGTTATGTGTAGCTTTGTATCTGAACTTGGAAAGAGCGGGAGGTATTGTTTTATATTTTGTTGGTCTTTATTGGTTTGTGAAGTACGGAAGAGGATTAGGGCCATATGTTCAACAAAAATTGAGATCTGACCAAAAGTGATATATTTTTTTGTTCTGAGAAAAAAAGTCAGACAATTCTGTATTCAAAAAAGGAAATTGACTTCCAGATCAGATCTCTAAAACATATTCACATGTGGCCCTAATCCTTTTCCGTAGGTGAAGCACTTTGGGTTAGACAATCACTATATAAATAAAAGTTTGATTGATTGATTGATTGCTTTATGAAATGCTTGGATATACATCCTGTGTGCCACACATGCTCTCCAAATGCAAGGGCAGGCTGGAAAATGTTCCGAAATGAATGAGGTAATGCTGGTTTATTGTCACCCACAGGCTGTAATGGACCGCTCAGTGCTTTTCCAGGAAAGGGAGTGTGTTTATTTCACGACTGTACAGGAACTGCTCCACTGATGGTTGGGTTCGGACCCTACTTCCTAATTTTGTTAGCTAAAAACCAACAGAAGTATTATCCAACTTGAATCGGATCATTTTAAACTCAAGATAACATTTTATTGTATTTTTTCCTGTGCTTTCTGCCATGTTGTTGTTATTTTTGGAGTTTTGTGTGTTCTAGCAGAAAGCTTGACAATACTGTGGTCCATGATACATGACACAAGAATACAAAAGTAGTTTTTCTACATCACAACCCACTTTGACCATCTAAGAGTGGCGATTCCTGTTTATCACATCATAAAATCATCATAAATATTTAAAAAAAGTTTGTTATGTATCCCCTCCCCGTTAATTTTTTGTTGCTCAGTAATAAAATAATACAGAGCAATGATAACTCGGTCTCACCTCATCAGCCAGCAGGGAGAGCTCGCTGCTGCTGGCGGCGTCGTAGTCGTAGAGCACTCGGGCTTTGCGGCTGCCGTTGGAGCTCCTCAGCTCGTTGAACCCCCCCGACGCCGTGGAGCTGCCGTGACCCGCGGACACGCTGGGCAGGGAGGCCGACACCGGGATGGTGGGCACCGAGATGCTGGCCCCCCCCGACGCCGACGACTGGTTGTTGTTGGAGAAGGTCGAGGGGAAACTGGTGAGAGGAAGGGGAGACGATAAACAGCGAAACTGTGGCAACCTGACGGACGTGTTCTTCCGCAGTATTTTATTTACTGGTCTAATTATAGGGCTCTTTCTTTTCCTGTAAGGAGTCTGACTTCCCTGTGACCTCATCCCTGATAAAGTATCGGTCATTTTCCTCTTTCAGCAGAAAAGTAAAAAGTGGCCTTGCTTTTCCTTGACCTTATCACACAAAATAATGAAAATACATTGGACATCCATACCTCTGTTTACAGGAAGGGTTTCTTAAAGTAAGACAAGAGGGTTATAACCCTATTTTAGGAAAAAGGGAAAGACTGCAATGACTTACTACTTCTCCCTTGTCCCTTTTGAAATGAAATGATGTTTATGTTTGATAAAATATTGAGATAAGTGCAGATCATTTTAGCTCAGAGAATCTGTGTTCTATGTAGCTAATGCAAACACTTTCCTTGACCTGTGTCTACTTACAAAAACGTTCAAACCTTGAATTGTCTTCTTCAGATTCCTAAACTTTCATGAATCCAAGGAACCACAAGCACAATTGAGGATAAAATAAATACAAGGATGACGGTGGTATTCACCTGCCCAGCTGCTTCTGGAGATCCACCATGTACTGGTAACACTGGGCGTAGTATGTAGTCTGCGCCTCCACAAAGTCATTCAAGCAGCGGAGGTGGTGCGCCTGGTAATGCACAAGAATACACAAATAATTCACCGGTTGCTATCAAACTTGTAAAATGTTAAGAATACGTTTGACAATGAGAGTATTTAATAGATGTTTTAGCCTAACAGATTTGCAAGACAAAAACATTCGTATAAAAATCTACTGTTATAAATCTTGCTCCCACACACACACAAGTCAGTTTGGGGTTAAGTTTCTGCGACCAAAAACCAGCAGCACTACAATAATATCCCTTATTGTTAATGTTTATTGATTGAATGATGATTAAAAGTGGAAGCCTGAGGTAGGGAAGGCTTTTATGAGCATTTGTGAATCTGTAGAGTGTGCTGAGCTGAGCTGGGTTACATACGTGTGTGCTGCTGACGCCTTCTAGCAGCAGTCGGGTGATCTCCGACTGCCGATCAAACTCACTCTGGGACATCCTCAACTCCTGCTCGGCCTGAGAATGGAGGAAAAAAAACGAGGTTTTTATAGAGTAAAATGTAAGATAGAGATCACAATACACACGAGAAATGATGAAGATCAAAGTGAGCAAATCAGGTCCAATGATCTTATGATATATGGCGGTTTTCTAAATGCTTTACACTATTTCAGCTTCACAAAAAGGGACATTTCCTTTTTCCTGAGTTATATCACATTAAACTGTTTATCTTTGAGTTTTGGACTGACAAAATAGGACATTTAAAGACATCAGCTTGGACTTAGAGAAACAACAATGACAAGATATGGCTTTATATAAACCTAAAACAGGGATGTCAGAGATACAGCCATCAGGAAAGACAGGGGAACGGACACATCAACTAAACATGATGTTTCTGTCCCGAGGGAAACGTTTCCCTTTCCTCACGCTGAGCCAAGAGATTCAATATGATGTGTGGAACAATGGCTTGTTGAAACTTGCTAAAGAGTCCAATAAACACATGGTGAGAATGACCGGGACAATGGCCTCACTGTGCAGAGCCGCAGAGAGAACATCTACAGGGATTTAAGTTTTCCATGAGGTACCACAGTGTGTCATGGAGGAGATACAGAGAGCTTTACACAGCAGCTGTTAACACTGCTACCAGGGGGTTTGCTGTGTGTCTGTGTGAGTGTGTGTGTGTTCAATTAAAAGATGGCTCCAACATTCCACTCACCTCTGTCACTTCCTCAGCTCACATCTGCTGCTTTGCATTTTGAAAACAGTGACACAGTAGTTAGAGCTACAGCTGCCGCACGGCTGCAGCCAACACACACATTCTTACAAGTGTGTGTGTGTTAGTGTGACTGGCAAAACACACTCTGTACAAGGAACCAGGACTGGGACAATGTTGCGCATAAATAATTCTAATCCCTCGGAGATCCAAACTTGTGTGTGTGTGTACCGTCAAACTAAGAGTAAAGAAAGAATGTTGCTAGTGTTACCCAGCAGAAACTACCACTGTATTTTATGACTCTTCTCTTTCATTCTGATATTGTTGACAGGACACATGTTTGTTTGTAGGGATTAAACAAGTCATGACATCCTGCTGCTTGAAAGCGCTACATGTTGAGAAACCACAGGGGTAACTTGGCTCTGAATCTGCAAATGGGAATAAAATGATAGCTCTTTGTTGTATTGAATTTGTGGGAAGTTGGCTCAAAAGACTAATTTACTCTGATGCTCTGAAGACTGCAGCCAAATAGCATTGCTGGGATATCGCCCAGTGCTTTATTGTCCATCCACTCTGACATTACATTGTACTCCAAGTGATATTGCTTTTAGTAGATGTAGAATATCAGCAGCTTAGTTAGCCTCATCTATTTTCTTTTTGCATAGGGGGGATGGATTCTGGCCTAGCTTTGGCTCAGTTAATACAAACTACAGTCCTAAGAGAGACCATCTTCAGAAATGGTTTGTCATCATGACAAGCAATTTTGAAAAAGTCAGGCCTTTCCAATTAGAATGAAATGTGGTTAATGAAATGAAGCATTTGTTACAAATCATTTGATAAGCAAATCTCAGTGTTCAAAACCTTTGAGGGGCCATTTTATCCACTGCTTTTTCTATTTAATTTGAAAAAGGATACCAGCTGTTGCTAATTTATATACATTTACTTGATCATACCAAAATGCATTTTCTCAAAGATTGTTTATGAGTGAGATGAAGTCTCACTCTGTATTTTTTTTCTTTGGTACAACCATCAGCTTACGACATTCAGTCAGAATCGCCAAGTAAAAATGTGATTGACATTAATAAGTTAAGCGAATCAACTTTTGATTTGTAAAAGAACCTTCAGTATTAGGAGTATTTTGGAAAATATGGTGTGCTCGAGACAGAATGCTACTGTTTATTTAATATGCAAAGGTATATTTGACAAATATTTGACGACATCTGATGCTTTGTTTAATATTAATTTCACTGTTTATACTGAGCATCTTTGCAGAAACATTTGAAATCAGACGTTTGAAGACTACATGGACACCAAAAGAAAAAGAGAAGTCTAAACTTCCCATAGCTGCTCATGTGACACAAGAAACACAGCAATGGGCTTCATGTTGTGTAACAGCGTGGCAGGCATGACTTCAGAATAAGGAAACGCTAAGGACAGCTTTTCTTTCTCTAAAAGGAAATTGGCTCATGATTATTGAGAAAGCAGAAATCACTAACACTGTTCATGATTCACATTAAAACGGCAGAAAGACAGAGATAATGTTACCATCACATTAACGATAGTTTGTGTGTGTGCGTGTGTGTGTGTGTGTGTGTGTGTGTGTGTGTGTGTGTGTGTGTGTGTGGACTCACTGCAGCTCTAGCATCAGTCATCCGGGCTTTCTTTAGTCGGGTTTTGGCTGCATCCAAATCCAAACGTTTGACCTGCAGTAGCTTCCTTTCTTTCTGGAAAGAAATACAAGAAATCCGTCAAATAAATGAAATGATACGGTTTGGCCACTTGCAATGACATTTTTTTCTTGAAGATAACATTAGTGATGTGAATTTGCAGTCATCACTTACTTTATGGTAAGAACATACAATAATGTTGAGAATCTTAGCAGAAAGACACTTTTATTGTGTCGAATGTTTTGAGACATTAGATAAATGGACACTCAACAGACTATGTTTCTAACAGATGTGAAAGGTGAAAAATAAATGAATATAGCTTTATGGGGACAAAATAATCCACAGGCAGATTTGTTTTCATAGAGAAGTCAGAAACAGAAATGATTGTGCAGTATTTTTTAACATCTAATAATATCAAGCATAAACAAAGACCAGGATGACTTTTTTTGTGAAAGCTTGTCTGGCACTGAATGTAAATATCGTAAATTCTATAAAAGAATTGAGGATAATGGACAGAGTTTATATAATTCCTATCCTAGGGATAGATAGAGTTAATCATCAAGAGAATAATTAATCTACAGAGCAGAGTCAGTTCGAGATAAAAGTTCAAAGCTCAGTGAAAAGTGAAAGGGACTCATGGCCTGTTAGCCAGCAGCAACTCACCAGGATGGTTTTGAAGTCGCCCTCCAGAAAGTTCCTGAAAGGTGTCAGGAAGTTGATGGCAGAACTATGGATTAACTCCCGCTCGGCCCCACCAATCTGCTTCTCCGTCTCACCGCATTTTATCAGAGCATTTCCTACACAAACAAAGCTTCACTGTAAATATTACACTGGACAGGAGCGACAAGGCCTAAATACTTTTGTCTTGAGAGGACACAGGGGACTGTGGATACGTACAAACTAAGTGCTGCTGTTCAAAAGGTAGCAAAATATTGCAATTTAGGAATGAGGATAACCACAAAAAAGGGATGCTGAGGGTTAATTAATATTATTATTCATTCTGATAATGAAAATAGAGCTCTAACAAGAGACAAATTACATGAAGGCAATTCAAAGTATGTTTTTAAGGTTTTTTGATGTACTTCACTAGAAAAAACGTTTGATGAGTCGGAACTGATTTTTGTATTCTTGTTAACAAAGGTGACGTCAGTTAGATTTGGTAAGAGCTGCGGTTAAATTAGTCCCCCATCTTTGATCACAACATCTTGACCTTTCTTACCCTTAGGTGTCCATAAACTACAAGTCATTAACTTGTTTTTAAAATACAAAAAAGGGAACTGTTATCTTAGAGGTTCCGGCCATGAGATGCAGGTACTTTTATGCATGCATTCCCAACAACTAAATGATAATAATAACCAGAAGCTAAGCAGATTTCAAACATTTGACGCTCCTAGAATTGAGCAATTTTGAAGGGGAGGTTTGTCTTGGTCACCCAGCAAAAGGAGCTGGCTAAAAAAAGAAGATGACCTGTGTTACAGCCAAAGTTGAACATCATTCAACAGGAGTTTAATGTTGATTAAAGTCTTAATATGCAAGGGAAATCAGTGTATTTCTCACCATAGGCAGTGCCAGGACCAAATTCACCCCCTGATTCAATCATGGACTGGCCCAACAGCTCATGGTTGTTCATTCGTGTAGGGGCTTTCTTCTCCAGTTTCTCGTACACAAATTCTTCTAGCCGGACATCTGCAAATTAGAAAACCAAAACTTAATTACAAAGTCATAAGACTACAGAGGGGAAGCAGAACGTGGGCAGTGAGTTTGAGACTGAGAGTCCAAATAGCTTGCATTACATTTGTATTAAACCAATACAGAAGCTTTCATAATAAAATTATAATAGGAAAAGGTTATTGCATCACATGGGTGAACACAGTGAGTCACAGGTTAGCATATCTGTGGTATGTTGTACTGAGACATACATGTAGAACAAATCCAGTTTGCATTATCCAAGACTCTTATATAAGACTGTAACAGCAGCTGGTCTGTCTGTGTTTGTTGTGTCACTGTAATATGGCACCGTGGTGTGATAGCAGGAGGATGCACAGCTGAGCCCACTGACTGCACAGATGTATGTCAAACACCACCACAGAGATGTTTAGCATTTTTTATGTGACCCCTTTTCAGTGGCAAACATATAAGAGACCCATACATGAGGTTTGCTGGCTTTTGCCCCAAATACACAGGAACATAAAGAGGGCACCTGTGATACAAAACCCTCAAAGGGCGTCCAGTATGTCAGCATTGTGTTTGTCAGTCCATTCAGAGTCATCACAGAGTCTTACTTGGGTTGGGCTGTAGTAAGACTTCTGTCTGCTTCATAATCCTTTCTGTCCATTGCTTGGTGTTCTCAGCTCTGATCAGAAGATTCTCCAAATGGGCATCCAACTCAGTCTTTTCAGCCTGGCCAAGTTTCTCTTCTGTAAACTGTTAAAAGAAAATATCCGGTTATAGGGTCCACATATTGTCTCGCCTGGAAAATTACACACCAACGTATTAAGAGATAAGGGCTGAGGTGTGGCGTAGCATGTTTGATAGCCATTTAACGTTAGCAAGCTGTACAGACCAACTTGAAAAATAAACATTTTCCTAGCTAATGTTGTTAGCTTTATCTAATGGTTTCTGAGGCCTGCTTTAATAGTAATGTTGAAGGGTGTTATACTATGTAATAAATGGGCCGAAGTGTCACGGGTTCCGTTTAAAAACACTATAGTACAACTTTGAAGAATATGGAATTCTCTCAATAGATAAATGGCTACTTAGCAACACGGTAGCGTTAGCTGTTTAGCATGCGAGCTAACGCGACCTGACTGATAAAGCTAGCAGCTAACGTTGATTAGCAACAACTTCCAAGAATTAGACGGTCAAACTTACTTGTACCGCGCGGCTCAGGAAAGTACCGGCGTCTGCAGCTAACCGTTTAACATTAAAATCCATGACACCGTGGTGGAAATAAACACTTCATACAACAGATAGCTTGTCTCAGAGTCAAACTTTCATCCCTATAGAAAATGTCATTGAAGCAACTTTTTGTCGGAGTTCCACCCAGCTGTTGAACCTGACAAAGATAGTATATACAGCACAAGAGAGTTCACACCCACCCGATTCTGACAACTGGGAGAAAGTGTCGCGCATGCGTATATTAACAATGGAAAAGTTGACACTAAAAAGGAATGTCACTAAACTAAAACTACACATAGCCTACTAGTTTTAGTTAGTAAACCAGCAAACGTCTGGTGTTTCCACAGTGGGATTGTAAGAAACAGCATGCATGTGTGAGACAACGCCAGACAGTCTCATGTTTTTGGGAGATGTCAAGGCAAGAGAAGTATGTCCTCATAGTAAAACCCTACCCTACACGTTTGAGTGTCATTTATCAGGTCCAGCAATTTATGTTCTTAATTAATCCTATATCTATGGTCTTGACACTCTCTTCTGCTCAGGTGTATGTTTAAGCAAAAACGGTAGCTTCCCATTTTTTCTTCATCTTCTTTTAATGTAGGTTGGCAACTGGCGTTTTAGATGCATTACTGCCACCTACTATCCTGGAGGGTGGACCAGAGTCCCCTCATCCCAACACTATGAAGTGGGGGGAAAATATAATTATTGAACTATATTATTTAAATATCTTAAACCAAAATATTATTTATATGAAGACATTAGAAACTCAAAGGATATTCAAACAACATTGTAATGGCACCTTGCACACAAATCATGGAAAGCACAATACATGGTTGGAAAATATAAGCACACCCTTCACTGAGGTTTCAGTTTAGTAGCGGCTAAACCCATATATAAAGATCTGCCCTGAACCCTTAACCTCACACCCTTGGCTGGTCACCCCTCATTGACCCTTTCCCATTGATTCCTTCCTGTTTTATTGACAGCTACCGAGTCTAAATGAGAGTTTAAATTAAGTCATGCAAGGTCAAATAGCAGTCAAGATCAAATACAAATCGTTAAAAACACCATTCAGATGCAACAGAACAACACATATTCCTGAATATCATCCTGAAGCCCCCAGATGCTGCTCCCTCCCACCATAGACAGGAACAGCACACATTTCATTATGCATTACTACTATGCAGAGGAGGAGGAAGACACGGAGGACGAGTGGGAGTCTCATCTGTCCTCATAAGTTATGCATTTTCTTATTAGCGGCAGTCATGGCTGGACTCCAAACTTTGCAATTCACATGAAAGTAGAGGACAAATGGTTATACACTCAGGCTTCAAGGGAGACAGGGGGAGATTATTTAGATCCTCCCCTCTAAATGATTTTCCCTGATTTTTTTACACCACAATGCAGATTTGGTTTATGCATCGCATTTACCCGGAGGATAATATTTCTAAATGTCTTGCAACCTTCCCCTCTTTCTTAGAAAATGTGTTGAGGGAGCAGACTATGGCAGATTTTGGAAAAACAAAAACACTCTTCATGTCTGGTTGTAATTATGCCAGACAGCGCCTGCTACCTGCTGTGTGGGAGGAAGTCAGGAAGAGGGGGAAATCAAATGGCTTCCCTTCTGTAGGCTACCATCGGCCGTCAGCTACAGCCTTTCAGTTAAACGATGGCTCGACATTTTATTCAACCACACAATTGTTCTTATGTTGGGTATTACCTTAAAATGCTTTTGGTTTTCCCATGGGACACCTTCGGTAATTTCTTATTGACATGTAAATTACATAATGGGATTGATTTACAACTTTGAAAGGTATTAAAGCATCAAATATTCCCTGTTTGTTATACATTTCTGAAGAAGTAAGCTGTAAAACAGTGAATGGACTCCCATAGTAGCCTACACACTGCATTTTTTATAACCACTCTATGTCAAAGATATTAAGGCTTTGGCTTCGCTTTATGCTTGGCTAACTTTTAGAATTGTTGGGGCGGGTGCTTTAAACACATGAATATGGAAGTCAGCACTTTTAGGAAGGCAGAACAGCTCCTTTGAGGGAGGAATCGGTTGCACTCTGGTTGTTCCAGTAGTAAATCTGTGTGTATCTGCTCTTTCACTCGACAACAGAAAACACTCAAGGGTAAGAGAAAACCAAAACCTCTTGAAACTTAACTTCAGCAAAAGTCGTTTTTTCAAGAAGACATTGCTAGTTTTTAAAGATCATTAAACTGTCCACAAATAAGCAATACAGACATGTATGCTGGTGACATTACAATCTTTTATTTGAGACGGTTTCCTACAATGCAGCTGCTGAGGATACATTTATTTAATGTCAACTCAACATAAAATCCTTGCACAGACTTTCACTTTCTTACATGATGCAGTTTTGACAGAGCAAATGAGTTCGAGTTTCATTCAGTACAAGACTTTAGAATGCGACTGTCATGAATCGTCGTGTCAAAGTACATCTGCAAGTCTATTCTAAAAAGTTTTGATTATCCACACTCCATAAATACTTGATATGTGATAAAACAACTGTATTTAGGGCAAAATCAAAGCTGAACTACATTTGCTGACTCTTTTGGACCACACTTTGTGCTAGCTCCAGCAGCAGAGGATATCTGAGTGTCCTCTCCTTCCAAGACTCTGGGATCCCCTGGAGACCCGTCTGAAAACACATCAAGATCACAGGTGAAAGCATCGCAGGCAGAGCTTTCAGAATATCTGAGATCACTGTCAAACTCATCAGAAGAGTTTGACTACAGACAATAACAATACGATAAATTATATATTTGAACCATGAAACAAACATGGGTAATGTCTTTGAATGATGTTCTGGCCTTTTTGATTGATTATGTGACTAGGCTAGCTTTCATACTTAGCATTATTATTGTGCTGTTACCATAGACTGTATATATAACAGCTGTTACACATGATTTGCATGTATACATTATCGTGCCTTATTTAGGGCTTATTTGTATTGAATCATTTGGCAATTTCTTTAACAGATAATACTTTACTTGTGAAAAAAGTCCATCCCAGTTTTTACAATTCTAAAGGGATATCTTCAAATGTGCTGTTTATTCAGTCATAACCGGGAGATATTTTGTTTAATATGAATAGAACATTTGATTGAAATATTAAATCTCCATATTTGAGATTTTCTCCCATTTGTGCATAAAAATGTCTCCAATAATGGACCAATTATTAAAATAGTTAAATGGTTTGATTAGTCCTAATCGTTGCAGCTCTGTATAAACTAAGTGGTTAAATTATACATACATGTACACATAATATACAAATCTTTCAAAACACTTCTTCCTTCTGCTTTTTACCAATAAGAAACTCAAAACAGTTGAATTGATAATGACTATTTCATAAGCCTGAGAGCTTCAGCTCTTCAGTACCTGTGCCCCAAAACAGGCTCCAATGAAGGAGGCTCTGCTGGAGGTGCACCCCCCGCAGCGCATGGTGTCCCTGACTGCTTCATCCAGCTGCTTCAGCTTCAGGGCTCCATGAAGCGCTCCCTGGAACGCATCGGGCAACACTACACACAAAAATGAAGTAGCAGATTGAGAAACACATGGTAAATAATACAGTAACTGATTTAGCTATAAAATAGAAATTATTCTAAGTGACAAATATTGCTATCAAAGTGCATGATTTGATATACTTTCGCAATATCATACTTGAAAAGCTCTGGTGAACTGAACATGTATATTAAGCATCTCAACCTTTTAGCCCTGTAAAACCTGAGACACTCAGCAGGAAGGGGAGGATGAAAAGAAAGGAGGAGGGGGAGCATTAGCCAGGAGATCAAAGGCTGGAGGACCCAAACGGATACTGACAGGGAGCACACACACGCCATGCCAAGTCCACAGACCTGGTCCTGCTGCTAGCGCCCGGCTCACCTCATGTGTTTTTGAACGCAGCAGGTATGAGCTGTGGGGATGACTTGGCTAGGTTGTCTTTCACCTGGTGGATATGCGCTGCAGAAGTGATACAGGAAAAGAGATAAGATGTATTGTTTAATGTTTAAACACTGGAGCCCATTTTTGGCTGCCAATAACGCACATTATATATCTTATGTAACATTCTGTTTTGATGTTCAAAGACAAATGCAACAAAGACATGGTTCCCCCCTTAGCATTTTGCGTTTCATGCAGTTTTGACCACATTTCCCACAAGTCCTCTTTGATTCTGCATTTTGTAACCCCAATCCCCTTTCTGCTTGTTTAAGGAAAGATACTAGAAAAATAGAAAAGACAAAGTTCCTGCCATATCCAGAAAAACTCTCTCTGAACTATCGGTCAATACGGCAGATTTCCTTTTAGTTAAATGAGGTTGATACCACTTTAATATTGGGCTATTGAATAAAATATCAAGCTGAATGATATGAGCTTAACTTAGCTAAGTCAGTATTTTAAATCTCACCAATTAGTACTGTATAGACTGTTTTAAGTCTTTATGCAAAGCTTAGCTCATCAACTGGTAAATGGTGATTTTTTTATTTAATTCTTAAAAATAAGTGGATAACAGATATCTGTCAATTATTATTTTAAATGTCATGATCAAGAAGCTTTAAAGACACATTATCTCACCAATGACAGCCCGGTCCAGCTCCTGAGGGTTATGTCTGTTCGGGTCATTCAACTGAGCCACAACAGCATCCAGAGCATTAGGGTGGGGACCATTCAGAATGAAGTGCTCCAAAAACCTTGCAAAATTAGACGGACAAAAGATTAAGTCTCCTTTCACTCCCTTCAAAATCATTGTATAACTCCTGTGCTTGACCATGTTCTCTTACCTTGCCGCAGCCAGTGTCACAGCCACACACATGTCATTGTTCTGGGTCACTCGGATGGCCTTCTCCACTTTCTCCAACATCTCAGGGCGGCCGGCGTACATGGCCACCACCGGAGCCAGCTTAGTGACCCCGTCCATCTGACAGTCCACATCACAGCCTTATAAAAACACACACATACAGAGATTACAATCACAAAACTGGGAATGTCTTCATGGACTTCTGATTTGTGATCTTTACCAGTTTCTTCTTTGCCAGCATCCACATTTCTGATGAATGCTTTCAGGCTCGCATTTCTCCATGGGCCATCTATGGGGAGGATTGCTTTGGGAGCTAGAAAATACAACAAAAATGCGTTTTAGATATGATTTACGGCTTCATTCAAA